TAAAGTCTTGGGAGCGACGATCGGCATTGTACATCCAATGGCGTGACATAATCTGTATTACACGACAAATTATGAAAACCTTAAACATAATTAAGTATTTTATTACACAATATAAATGACACACACACGGTTGATTAATTAACTAAGCCTGGCTACAACGTAAGCAATCCCAACTATCACTAAACAAACTAAAACTACAATGCACTTCAAGAACATAATTATTTCGTGATAAATGACGCAACTAAAACAGACAAATCATTCTTACGTTGAATATCAATAAGCTTCTCCTATTTGGCTCATCGACTCATCGGCAGCAGCAACCGCTACCTCAAGCGCACCCAAATTCTCGCACGTATGTAGCATAATCTTCCTCCCGGTACCAACCATCGCATCCATTGCCCTCCCACTGAAATTAAAGCCAAAAATATTTAGTCAAAAATATTCAAGAAAAGCAGTCAATTAGCCATAAATAAAAATGCGTAAGAAACTCACATCGCGATCCGGGCACTTGTAGAAAACACGACCCTTGTTGGGTCCCTATCTCTTGACTCGGTACTCCATCACAATCTTCTGCTTACACTTGCCGCAGATAATGAGAGGGAGTTTCGCCTCGATCGTTTCAAGAACCCGAACGAGAGGCCGAGGATCCCGCATACCAGATTGTCATCTACTTTCTATACTTATTTTTGCAAACTAGTGTAAATTTCATATTTTCTAAAATGATATATTTAACCTAAACTAGTACGGATTTCACATGTTTCAATAAATAACCATCCGTACTAGTTGACCTTGCTTACATGATCATCTCGCAAGCATTTCTCCACCGGACGGCACCGTACTTGGCCAAGGAAGAGCTCCGATTCTACGAGAAAGGGAACACGGTATTCCACGACCGTTGCCGCTCTCCCTCGTAGAATCAAAGCTCCTCCTTGACGTCCGTTACCGCTCGGCAGAGAACATGCTCGCCGAGATGAACACGGTCCGCAAGTTCAACTAGTACGGATTTTCTACAATTTTCTAACAATTTTCTAAGTTTTTCATTTCATGGAAAAATTAATTCTAAGATCACGTAAGCCACCGGGGACGAGGATGGCGCGTGCTCCAGCGAGGACGAGCGAGGCGTGATTTTGATGAACTAATTTAACTTTTGTTTATCCAAACATATATGCAAATCATCATGTGATTTTGAGCTAAAATGACATATAAAATTATAATAAAGTCCAACATATAAAGTTACACATGCATCTACATCGCAAAATGAGATAAGCTACTGACAAAACATAAGAGGATTAAGTTTCTTACCTCCAAAATCGAAGAGCAACACCAATGCAGGGGGAGAGAGCAAGAACAATAGCAAGCTGAAGAACAGAGGCAGTGAGTTTGAATGCAATGGCTCGGGCTCGGGGAGGAAGAAATGAGGTGAATTATAGGCCGGGATAATTAGTCCCGGTTAGGGGCCAAACCGGGACTAAAGATTAATCTTTATTCTCGGGGCATCACCCAAGCCGGGACTAAAAGCTTTAGTAGTCCCGGTTGGTAATACCAGCCGGGACTAAAGATCCCTGCCCCGCGGAGGACCGTTGGGTAGGGACCTTTAGTTCCGGGGGCAAAAAATACCGAGGCTAATGCTAAATTGGGATATCGTTCTAAAGTCTGTTCTCTAGTAGTGACAGAAAGTACAAACGACTAGCCGAGCCAACGACTAGCTGCTAGCCGCAGAGACCATCCACCTGCCAAGTGCCTGTAGATACTGAATCTGCTATGTAGTATAATGAGATGGCACACCACCGTACCTTAGTGTGCTAAAAAAATAGTCCCAATTTGGTTGTAAAACATCATTATAATACATCACCTCAATGCATGCATACTACTTAATTACCCCCACTTGGTTGGTGCTATACATACCTATATATAGCGCTCTCGATCGCTCATTATAAGATGTACGGATACTGCCAACTATACATTACTGTCTGTGTATCCACGTATTAGATTTTTGTAACAAGTGGTTGTTTCGTAAGGGGTGGGTCGAGAAAGCTTGAAGAAAAGACAAACCGAACTGGCAGGCAACACCACCGACCAATCTTACATATACGTCCCACTGGCCAACTGACTAATAGACAACACTGTCAAAACACACTGGCCAGAGAATCTCAGAAGATTATAGGCCGAAGCAAATATTATTGGGCCAAGATATCTGTAAGACCACGTACTACTGGCGGCTCTGTATTATATAGTAACTAAAATGTGATCAGGAGAAGATAATAAGGAGCCATAAAAATTTTAACGTGTGTTCTTGTTTAAATTTTATGCGGCTGCAAAAACACATGATATATACTCTGGTACACTGTTTCAAAATGTAAATTTGTTGTTTTTTATCTAAATAAAACCTGTTTGCTTTGACCAAAGTTTATTAAAAAGTGTATAAATATCTCACTATGCTAGATACACACAAAAAAGTCACTATATCAGAGACAGATCAATGTTGAGCATCTCTGATGACTAATTAGAAACTGCTCCCCAGTAGCTCTCTGTGATTTATGCTTAAGGCCCATCAGTGACTTGAGAGGAATTTCAAAGACGCGGCTAAAGTAACCTATGTTTGTGAGCTTTTCATGGACCCAAAAATTTTATGAAGTTCAGTAGACCGACATCCATACCCCAATCTCTTCTGTCCCCAATCTCTCTGCATCACCCCTCTCTCTTGAGCTCATCTTTTAGCTCCGGTCTTAATCGCAAGATCCACATGCCAATGTCGGTATCCTCACGCCGTGTCCATTCCGCAGTCTGCTCCCTCTAACCTCTCCTCCCCAGCCTTCAAAACCATGCACCTAGAGAGGGCAGAGGGCTCGCCTCGAACACAAACCCTAGCCACACAACCACCCCATCCTGTTGCACCACCAGGGGAGGGGCTCCTCCGTGGGTGGTGGCGGGCATGGTTGTCACGACGACACAACACTCGGCTGCTGCCATGTGTTCCTTGTAGCAAGACCACTGCCATGGAGACCCTCGTGGCTGGCAGCACGCTCCACATCACCCACATCAGGGACTCCCGCAGCATCTCCGGGTTGTTGCGCCCTCAAGATCGGTGGTGCATACCTGTCCTTGCTCTTTCACATCTCCGGCCACATCTAGATGCTTGTAGATCCATTACCGGACTGAACTAACGGTATGGAGTTAGATCTGCATACAATAGATCTCCTCCTCTGCCAATTAATAGTGATAATATAATGTTGCTTATTTTTTATCGACATATTTTTTAGACAGTGGGAGAGAGAGGTGTGGGTATGAATGCACGATACGATTAGTTGAATTAGATAACTTATTCCTTCTGGTCAGGAGTTGAATTTTATTGGGTACATGGTTCGTCTAATTCTTGGAGCTACCATGTCAAGGTTCATGACTAGGGTTGGTTACCCTCGCCGATGTCGCATGTCATGTGTGGAGTGGAATGATCCTTGTTGTCCGACCCAAGAGAAATAGGACAATTGATATGTAGTTGCTAACATTAGAAACTAGGGTGCAAAACCTTTTCTTGGTAGAGGTAGAAATGCTTGAAAAACATAGCATCGGTCTAGATAGAGTTACATGGCTTGTGTGTCCATGTTCTATAAGAGGAATATCCACAAGGCTATGTGCATGGGTGTAATGTTTTCCTTTATTACCATTAAATTTTAGAGTAAAATTCCTAAGCAATCCGTAAATTTGGCCAGGGTGTTATCCCTGCCCCCAAACACAAAAATACCATTTTTGGCTGCCTTATCTTGGCTTTGGGTATCACACTACCACATAAATGATTTTAGAGGTGCCTCCTTGTTTTCCCATGGTGGCTCTTTCAAAAAAATTCATGTAAAGATGCCTCTATTGGGCCTAGCTAATGGACCGCATCTAGAAATGGATTTTATAACCACAGTTGATGTTTCCTTGCGCCTCTAAAAATGGTCTCTATTTTGAGAGGCAGTTCGCAATACCAATTGCCTCACCGTGTTACTTTTACTATATAATGTTTATCTAAATTTCAGCACCATGAGAAAATATGCTTCTTGGAGTGGAAAACGGAAAGAGAAGTTGAGTTATTAGTGGATAGACTCACGGAGAGGGTCCATGGATATTTTTTTAAGAGTAACAGAAGCTAAAAGAACCATCTCAAAACTAAATTTGTTGAAGAACAATTTGTCACAAGGGAGGTTAAATAGTTTTGGGCAATATTAGGCAATGAGAATAAATTATTGGATAAAATTGATATAACCATCATCAGTGACTTTGCATTGAGGGACGTCGGAAGAAATATTTAAAGTAACTTGATATTTATAGTTGTTTCATGTGAATATTTCATTTGGATACATGATAAGTGTGGTAACATTTAATGCACAATATATATTTATACTCCCTCTGTCCCTGAATAAATAAATTTCTGGAGTTGTCTTACATCAAACTTTTTAAATATTGACCGAATTTTTAGAAAAAAAACGTTAAAAATTATGGTATTAAATTAGTATCATTATATTAACCATAGAATATATATTCATAAGGTGCTCATTTTATATCATAGATGTTGTTACTTTTTTCTATAAAGTTAGTTAAACTTAAAAAAGTTTGACTGGCATGGATTTTAGGAATTGATTTATTCTGGGACGGATGGAGTATATACACACATTTTGAGTACTATTTTTGTTATATTTATAAAGGTGTCCTGAGTTTAGTTTGGCTGCAGCCCCGAAAAACTTAGGACTGGGGCTGGGTCCAGCAGATTGAAGAGGTGTCGATCAGGTCCACCTAAGAGGATGGTTAGACTATGTGGTGAAAGATCATTACAGAGTGCTGCGGCGGCATCATAATATTGGTGGATGCAGATCGGCTTGGCTGTAGATGTGGAAGTGCAGCTGTCCCCTCAATGGGTTAATATTGATATCGAATTGAAAGACTGTTTTTGGTGAAACATCTTGTCTTATCCGTTCTTATTCTTGCACATGATAATGTTTACACTGGTACATCTAATGGTGATGGCTGCTGGCATTGATAGATTAGCCAATGGCATGCATACGCCTACGGCCCGGGTTAATATATGCACAGACGACTAATGACATGATATGGTATACTAGAGCTTGCGATTCCAGGTTTTGCCAGCTCAGGGCCAGGCTCAGACAAGTGTGAACGTGGGGTAAGTAGGCTTAGCACATGCGTACGTACGTGGCCACTTCCACCATACAGTAAATAACCATCATGGACATTAGCGTTTGGAGAAGGTGAAGCATGCTGCTGCCATACGCTGCGTCAGGGAATCTGGCCACCTACTGGAGGAGCTGTTCTCCGCAGTTGCCTCCACTGCAGACAAAAGTCCGCTGCCTCTACGACAGGGATGTGATGGCAGGTATGGGCGATGACGACTTCCGACACATGATGTTCTTTGATGCTTGCTTCTTGGTGCAGTACATGCTTATGCAGAGTGGTATACAAATTGATCGGAGCTTGCGCGGTTTGTTGGGCCCTAACCGCATGGACATCCTTCATGACGTCATGCTACTTGAGAACCAACTCCCATGGGAAGTGGTCGAAACGGTAATGATGTTCAGATCCGTGCACTTGGGGGCCTAGCTTCATCTACAGGTATATGAAAGGCTACCTGCAGGACCGTAAGTTTCCCAAAGAAACGGTACATCCTGCATTGAATAAAGACTACAAACCCCCACATCTACTTGGCCTTCTCCGGTACTATACGGTTGGAAGAACCAGCGACACTATCAGTACAACAGTGAAACCCAAGAACAGGACGCCGATTTCAGTCAGTGCCATTGAGCTTGCCAAGATCGGCATCACGCTCAAAGCCAACAACACAATGGACCTCATTGACATGGGCCTCAAACACAAATGGACCCTCTTCGCCGAGCTCTCCGTGGCGCCCCTGGCGCCCCTGGACCGTGACCGTGCAAGCTACCTCGTCAACATGGTGGCTCTCGAGCTATGCACGGTCAAGAGCATTTCAAAAGCTCCGGTAGAAGACTCCGTTGTCTGCTCCTACCTTTTGCTCTTGGCCATGTTGGTAAACAGGGAGGAGGATGTGCAGGAGCTACGGGCGCGGGGTCTCCTGAAGGGAGGAGGAGGGCTCACCAATGAGGAGGCGCTCCACTTCTTCACAAGCTTCCAAAGTCTACGCTTCGGACCATGCTACAACCGCGTCATGCGAGGCATCGAGATATACAAGGAAAACAGGCGGATGCAGACCAAGCTGTATGCGTTTTGTTACAACAACAAGAAAATCATCGCCGCGGTTCTCACCGGCATCGGTGTACTTGTCGGGATCATAGGGACACTCCGGTCAATCAAGAAATCCTTTTGATATATGGCTGTAGAGGGAGACACTTACTCATGACATGATATGTATGTTCTATATATGTGCTTTAATCGTTATATAATTTCCTTTGTAGTACTCCCTCCGTTTTAAAATGTGTCTCCATTAAATTTTCATCGTATGTCTGATCACTTGTACTATTTTCTAAAAATATTTGTGCAAAAAGAAGACATATATAAATGTGCTAGTTTTAAGTATTTTTATGAATAAATATAATTATTACGTACTTGGAGAAAAATACAGGATTAATATATATATATGCTGGTTATATGTATTTTTAGTCTAATATTTGTAAAGATAGAAGACATTATATATGTACGCGGCCTCCATTTTGCATGCAGTAAAAATATTGGCTCCTTGCCTCCATCTTAATCTTCTTCTCGACCTATCGTTGTGACTGTATATATTGTCTAGTTCTGTGTTGGCTCCCGTTGAGTTTTTGTGAACTACAGGAAACCTGAGTTACCATGAGAGCCGAAAATCACCAGGGGAAACAACCAAAACCGCCAAGGAAATAAATCCTAGCCAAGAACCAACAAGCAAAATCAGCCAAAGGAAAGGGATAACGGAAATACATTTGCTTAGTTTGCCCCGAAGTCTGATTTCCTGAGACTGGCTGTCAAGAAAACTACAAGACACGTAAATAACTATCGGTAGAGGCAGATAACCGCCAAAGAAATAGGGGCTGTCTACCAGACGTTCGGGTGTTTCTAGCCCTTTCATCACCCTTTTGAGATCGAAAAGATCATCTAGCGTTAGGTCTAGCGGGTTCTCTTTACTGTGAATGCGATATCGAGAGTAGAGAGACAGAGAGGAATAGAAGAAGAACATGTCGAACCTAACACCGCAGAGGGAGATGGTCCAGAAGCCCCGATCTCTTTCGTCGGTGAAGTCTGCGCACGGGCAGCGACGTTCGGGGAAGTGGTCAATGAAGTCGTCGACGTCGGTGGAGCGGGGCAGCGCGGCTGGTGGCTTCCCATCATGGGCTGCGCCCCTCTCTGATCGGGATTAGGGTTTAGGTTTCGGTGGGGAGCTCGGCTCACGGTAAACCTCGTACTCAGAGCCGCCGGCCCCACCTCTATATATAGCGCAGTGTGACAGGTGACCTCCAGCCATAGTGGGCTGGGCGTCCTCGATCAGGGCATGGATCAAAGGCCCAACTAGGCCGTTGGGCCTAGTTTGGGATTAGATATCAATCTAACAATCCCCCTTGATCTCCTACCATCTTTCAATTTCATATCATTTACTTTTGTTCATTCCATTACAGATTAGCGCATAGAGCATGTTTCATCATCACGGTCAATTGCCGATAGATTTAACAACTACAACACACCACTCTGTTCTGAAATAGATACTTAACTTTGGGCCTTCTTTTCTCCAGAAATTATAGGCTTTCCCTTAAATCCATGTCGGCTACATGTTCTCTGAACACGTTGGGTGGTAAGCCTTTTGTAAGCGGATCCGCGAGCATCTTTTCGGTACTTTTGTGCTTAAGACTTATGACATGATCACGGACTTTATCTTTCACAACATAATACTTTATGTCAATATGGTTGGCAGCACCACTTTACTTATTGTTGTGAGCATACTGTACTGTCGGATTATTATCGCAATATAACTTAAGTGGTATGTAGATGTCGTCAACCATCTTCAAACCGGGTATGAACTTCTTTAGCCAGTTCACCTGCCCCGTTGCCTCATAACACGCTACAAACTCGGCATACATTGTGGACGATGTAGTGACGGTTTGCTTTGAGCTTTTCCATGAAACAGCTCCCCTGCGAGAGTGAATACATATCCAGACGTGTATTTTCTATCATCTCCCGCATAATCAGAATATGAATATCCCACTATATGGAGTGAATCTGATCTTCTATACATCATCATGAGGCTTTTCATTCCTTGCATATAATGCAAGACTTTCTTTACTAATTTCCAGTGTTCTGTTCCAGGATTGCTCTGGAATCTGCCAAGTTAGGGCGCGTACATACTTGAGCATATTGCAAGCTTCCGACAGCTGAAGCATATGGAACTGTTTTCATTTGATCGATCTCATACTCATTCCTGGGGCATTAAAAATCCCCATATCTGTCGCCCTTGACTATAGGAGCAGGTGAGGCACTACATTTGTGCATATTGAATTTCTTTAAGATCTTTTCTATGTATGCTTTTTGTGACCGTCCTAATACCCCTTTACTTCTATCTCGGTGAATCTCGACCCCTAGAACGAATGAAGCTTCACCAAGATCTTTCATATCAAATTTTGAGGACAAAAACTTCTTTGTCTCCAGTAGTAGACTGACATCACTACTAGCAAGTAAGATATCATCCACATACAGGACAAGGAAGATAAACTTCCCATTCTTAAACTTTGCATAGACACAATTGTCCTCTACATTCTCTTTAAACTCAAAATTCCTTATTGTCTGATCAAACTTCAAGTAGCACTGTCTTGAAGCTTGTTTTAATCCATAAATGGATTTCTTTAGCCGGCATCCCATTCGTTCTTTTCCATCCATGACAAAACCTTTCAGTTGTGCCATGTAAACAATTTCCTCCAAGTCCCCATTGAGAAATGTCATCTTTACATCCATCTGATGTAATTCTAAATCGTAATGTGCCACTAATGCCATTATGATTCTGAAGGAATCCTTACATGAGACTGGAGAAAAGGTCTCATTGTAATAAATCCCTTCTCTTTGCGTAAAGCCTTTTACCACAAGTCGCGCTTTATATCTCTCTATATTCCTTTGAGAGTCAAGTTTTGTTTTGTAGACCCATTTACAGCCTAATGTTTCGGCTCCTTTAGAAATTATTTCCAAGTCCCAAACTTTATTGGCATTCATAGATTTCATTTCATCTTTCATGGCCTCAAGCCACTTTGATGAATGATCACTTCTCATGGCTTCTTCAAATGAGGTGGGATCATCCTCCATTTGAAATTCCTCAATATTGTATACTTCATAGTCAGCAGGAATAGCTAATTTTCTAACTCTTTGAGACCTTCTAGGGGCCTCCACATTTGGCACATCTTCTGTTTGAGGCTGTTGTTGCTCCCCCTCATGTGTGGCAATAGGTTCTATAGGATCCTGAAGAATAGTTTCCTCATCGTCATTCATTGTTGCCACAAGCGGAATAACAATAGGTGCTGGCACCACAGTATCTTGCACTGTCGGTGCAGCGACTGCAGGTAGTGAGAAAAATGGCTCATGAATCATCGGAGTGGGCGCACACACCCGCTTCTCTTCAAGGTCAATTTCTCGAGCTACCATGCTCCCCCTCATCATTTCATCCTCTAGGAAGACAACGTGTCTCGTTTCCACAAACTTTGTATGTCTGTCTGGACAGTAGAAATAAAAACCTTTTGACTTTTCTGGGTAGCCAATGAAATGACAACTTACTGTTTTGGGATCTAGCTTTGCAATGTTTGGGTTAAATACTTTAGCCTCAGCAGGACTCCCCCACACACGTAACTGGTTTAGTGAGGGTACTCTTCCTGTCCACAACTCATACGGTGTTTTGGGCACCGACTTACTTAGTACTCTATTGAGAATATGAATGACGGTTTTTAACGCCTCCATCCACAGGCTCAACGGTAAGGTGGAGTAACTTATCATACTGCGCACCATATCCATCAGGGTACGATTGCATCTTTCAGCTACTCCATTCTGTTGAGTTTCGCCCGATGTAGAATACTAGACTATTATGCCATTCTCCTGTAAGAACCTTGCAAAAGGTCCAGGAACTTGGCCATATGGGGTATGCCGACCGTAGTACTCCCTCCCACGGTCGGACCTAACTATCTTAATCTTTAAATTGTGTTGGCTTTCAACTTATGCCTTAAATATCTTAAATTTATCCAATGCTTCTGTTCTTTCTTTGATTGGATAAATGTAGCCATAACGGGAGTAATCATCTGTGAATGTTATGAACGAATCATAACCATCCACACTCTTTACAGGAAACGGACCATAGATGTCTGTGTGAGTAATCTGTAAAATTCCTGCGATTCGTTTGGCATCTTTCTTATTTTCTTTACATACTTTTTTTATGCATTCTCTGCATTGTTCTAAATCTAAGAACTCTAATGGAGGAAGAATATCATTCTTAACTAGTCTTTCTATTCTCCTCCTCAAAATATGGCCTAAACGACAGTGCCATAATTTTGACGATGCATCGTGAGCTCACTATAACACAACATACTTTTGCCGACACTTTCTATTGTAGGCAAAGCGCAGCTTTGCCAACAGATAACCTCCCGCAAAAAGTTTTGCCGACAGTTTAGAAACAGTCGCGCTAGAAGCCGTCGACCAAACTTTTGCCGACAGTTAACAGAATCCCCGACACTTTATGTGTAGGCAAACGGTCTACCTACGCCGATAGTTGAAACCTTTGCCGACAGTTAACCCTTTGCCGACAGTTAAGATATACGCCGACCGTTAAGACCTTTCCCGACAGTTTGTATGTTGGCGAAACCATTTCCAAACATTTTATGAAACATGCCCTCGTCAACAAGTAGACCGTTGGCAAAACTATATAGCAAATATAGATATCAATTCAATTTGAATGATTTGACAAATCCACTTTTGTTCATAGATAGAGAAGGCATCACATTGAGCAAATTCACTTGATTTTATAGAAATAATATATTAAATATTCCATACATACATCAAATGGATATTGCAAGTCAAAGTGATGATCATAGTACACAGAGCCATACATATACAAGTCCAGGATATAGATGAGCCACTAGAAGACATATATAGACATATACTACAAGTCTTGTGCTAACTGATTATGGCTAAAGTTAAGAGATCAATAGATCATGACTCGGGCACAAAAGTGACATTCAACACTTCCATGTGTTTGGCCTACATGATAGCAGGTGCAGAACAAAAGAACAGAACAACAATTCATGTCTTCTTGCAGCAATTCTAGGACACTTCAGAATACTCCTTTCCTTGATGCACAAATGTGGTGTGTTCAGC